AGAGTGTGTCTGAACCCCGAACGTTATCAGGAAGGCTATTCCAGAGTTTGGGAGCCAAATGCGAAAAAGCTCTACCTCCTTTAGTGGACTTTGCTATCCTAGGTACTACCAAAAGTCCTAAGAGAAAAATAATTAAATTTATATTTTGACCTCCCTATTCAGGGAACAGACACAGTCTTTATAGATTGGACAGCGCAAGTACTTCTATCATTTAAGCGGGTAGAACAAAAGTCATCATGGCAGTTATTTGAGAATTGGCTTACTAGTCATATGGAGCGTAGCGTCCTGGAGATGTGAAGTCCCTCTTCAGTGTCTCCGTCTGCCGCAGCTTGGTGTTGTTAATGATGCTGAAAATTCAGCTTTGATCACAGAAATCAATTACATTTTAACAGATATTCACATAGAAAACAGCTATTTTCACAATTTCATAATATTTCACAATTTTTACTGCGTTTTTCATCAGCCTGGGTGAGCAGAAGAGACTGTGTGAGATTTGTTTTGAGTTTTCTAAACGGCTGCATTCTGTATCACACAGCAGACAGCTTTTTCTTCAAACGTTGGATAATTTCATGAATTATGCAGTGTGGACTAACCCGCGCATCTGCGCTCAGAGGGCGGCCGTTTTAATCTCCACAAACACGAGCGCCGCAGAGACGCGCCGGGATCCTATTCAGATGTCATAACACCGCCTGAAATTACACTCATTTGCTTGTATGTTATTCTGGAGAGCACGCATGTAGTTCACTCCCCTCAAACCGTGTGTGTGTGTGTGTGTTGTTTCTGAAAGTAGATAATGTGCTGACGCTGGTGTATCTTTGCTTGCTGTGCCGATCTCCCGTGATTGACTATAATGTCGTCTGTGACAGAAAATCAATTTCACACACACACACACACACACACAGAATCACATCAGCTCTGCGTCCTATCAGCGTGACCTTCCACCAGGTCATAGTCTTCCTCCATTTCTCAAGTGTCTTCAGCTGATTCATGAAGATGTGATTGTAAAGCTGAGCGTGAAGACAGGCATTCTGGGTCCTCATTCGCTTTCATTACATGAATAAGAGCTTTTTTTATCGCTCAGTATCTTCACGTGAAAATCAAGAACGAAAGTCATACAGGTTTGAAGCGACATAAGTAAATTATTACATATTTTGGTAACTTTTCTATTCATGTATTTCTAATTTTAACCAAACTGTAGTTAAGTACAGTCAAAATGTTTAATGAAAGTAGTAAAATACAGTAAAAATTTGATTAAAAATAATCAAATGCATCTTTTTCACACTGTTTTTACTTAAATGCAGGGAAGAGCATATTTAATTACTTTACTTTATATGAATTATTATTATTATTATTATAGTTTTTATTTATTAGTTGTATTAGTTTTTATTAATATTTTGAATTAGATTTTGTATTGATTTCAGGTTTCACTTTAATTTTAGTGTATTTCTAAATAGTTTATTTGTATTTTAGTTTGTTTAATTTCAATGCAAGTAGTAAAATGCAGTAAAAATCTTAATAAAAATTATCAAATGCATGTTTATCACATTTTTTTCTTTAAATTATAGTTTTTATTTATTAGTTTTATTCATTTTTATTAATATTTTGAATTAGATTTTGTATTGATTTCAGGTTTCACTTTAATTTTAGTTTATTTCTAAATAGTCTGTTTGTATTTTAGTTTGTTTAATTTCAATGCAAGTAGTAAAATACAGTAAAAATCTGAATAAAAATAATCAAATGCAAGTTTATCACATTTTTTCTTTAAATAAATAAATGTTTTTTTTAAATATCTTTTGTTTTTATATTTCAGGTTTCATTTTTAAACAATAAAAGTATTTTGATAAGACAATAAAAGTGTTTTTGTTTCAGTTTAATTTCAGTTATTAGCAACACTTTTTTCCATCTAAAATGTATATTTAGTTAACACTATAAACATGTTTCTATCTAACTATCTAAATAACATCTGGTTTAATGTCACAGCCATTTAAAGCAAACTAGCATTTCTGGAGTGATGTGATATACACGTTTTATCATCTTTTTCTCATTTTGTCTGTCTTCTGCGTTGGCTTTGGGTTTTCACATCGCTCTGATCTGATTTCTGTAGAAACTGATTTTCCTTTGTGTTTAATGCTTCTCTCAAACAGTCCTGACAGGTCAAATAAATCCATCAGAAACACTCTCTCATCACTGTTACTCCAGTGTTTGATGAAACCTGACGCTGTATTTTTAGCATCATCATGTTGAAACCGCATGAAGCAGGAGAGAATGTGATCATTTGTTTTTTGTGTGTTTTGTGTCTGCAGGTTTTATTTAGTGAGTGCAGGAGTTCCCTTCATCATCTGCGGCATCACAGCAGCCATCAGCATCGAGAACTACGGCAGCGGAGAGCAGACGCCATTGTGAGTAGCAGCTAAATCAGTCCGATGTGTTCTTAGACAAGTTTGTTCGACACTCTTTCATATATATGAGTCACTTAAAGTATCTTACTACATATTAAATATGGTCAAACTGCTCAAATGAATTGAATGACGCATGCAGATCTGTAACCACCACAGACTTTGAATGGGACCCGACCCTCCATTCAGAGTAATGCTCAGTCACTATGACTGATTCTTAAACTTTTAATTTTTTATGTAATATTTGGTTGCATTCTTGCATGCATAAAAGGGTCCATAAGTCTGAGACCTCTAGTGAAGGTATTTGTTATTTATGTACTATTATTATTTTTGTTCAATTTTAATTTTACTTTAAGTAATTTTGCTATGTGCTTTTGTAATTTTTATTAGTTTTTTTATATTTCTGTATAGCTTTATTTTTATTTCAGATTTAGTCATTTTAATACTTCAACTTTAATACTAAAACTTATTTCAGTTAGTCGTAAAGTCAACATTTCTTTTTTCATTAGGGTTAAGTTTTTAGTTTTTCATCTAATATTTTTTCCCCCAGCTTTATTTCAATTACTGAAAACAATTTTTAAGTTTTAGTTAAAAACAACAACACTGAAGACACTTCTATTTTGCATTTTAATTAATTAATTTGTATCTTTGCAACACTGATAAATATACAATCTGCAAAGTTGATCAGTTATGAAACAAATTCTATTTAATTTGTAGTTTTCATTTTAGTTTTAGTAATTTTGTGATTTGCTTTTATCATTTTATTAGTTTTTTTATATTTCTATATAGCTTTATTTTCAATTCAGATTTAATCATTTTAGTACTCGACAAGGCAACATTTCTATTTCATTTTCATTAGGGTTAAGTTTTTAGGTTTAAGTTTTTCATCTAATTTTATTTTATTTTATTTTAGCTTTACTTCAATTACAGAAAACAATTTTTAAGTTAACAATAACAACTCTATTTTGCATTTTCATTAATTTAATTTATCTGTACCATTGCAGATTGTATATTTATCAATGTTGCAAAATTCATCAATTATGAGACAAATTCAATTATTCTATAAAGCAGCTCTACAAAATACAGTAGTGTCATTATTCATCTTCGTTCAGTTCAAGTTTTATTCTAATCCGATGTCAGTGTCAGTGCTGCCATATTGCTAAAATCTGAATGTTGAGTAACCAGAATATGATCCTTAATAAAATAGCATGCATGCAAACATGGTCAGAAATGTTTATTTCCTGTGTTTGCAGCTGTTAGTTTTTATTAATATTTTAAATTAGATTTTGTATTGATTTCAGGCATGTTTATTACAGTTTTAAATATAGTTTTTTAATTAATAATTTGAAATATCTTTTGTTTTTATATTTCAGGTTTCGTTTTTTTAAACAAAAAAAGTATTTTAATTAAACAATAAAAGTGTTTTTATTTTAGTTTTAGTATTTTAGTACTTGAACTTCAACTTAGCAACAATTTAGATTTAGATTTATATATATTTAACACTATAAACGTTTATATCTAACTATATCTAAATAACATCTGGTTTAATGTCACAGACATTTAAAGTAAACTCTAGCATATCTGGAGTGATATCATATATACGTTTTCTCATCTTTTTCTAATTTTGTCTGTCTTCTGCGTCGGCTTTGGGTTTTACACATCGCTCTGATCTGATCTCTGACAGAACTGATTTTCCTTTGTGTTTAATGATCCTTAATAAATTAGCATGCATGCAAACATGTTCAGTAATGTTTATCTCCTGTGTTTGCAGCTGTTGGATGGCGTGGGAGCCGAGTCTGGGCGCCTTCTACGGCCCCGTGGGCTTCATCATCCTAGTGACCTGCGTCTACTTCTTGTGCACCATCATCCAGCTGCGCAAACACCCCGAGCGGAAATACGAGCTGAAGGCGGTGAGCGAGGAGCAGCAGCGGCTCTCTGACGTCCACCAGGGGGAGCCGGCGAGCGGACGGTGTCACGGCGGCTGCCCGGGGCTCATCAACCCATCCACGCTGGCCAACGAACACTCGTTTAAAGCCCAGCTGCGGACGACGGCGTTCACGCTGTTTTTATTCGCAGCCACGTGGACGTTCGGCGCACTTGCCGTTTCGCAAGGCCACTTTCTGGATATGATCTTCAGCTGCTTATACGGGGCGTTTTCCGTCACGCTCGGGTTGTTCGTTTTGATTCATCATTGCGCAAAACGCGATGATGTCTGGCACTGCTGGTGCGCATGCTGTCCCGGGCGACGCCCCTCCAACGCATGCCACACCCACAGCCACGCCCACAAACTCAACATAAACGGCGACGCCCACTCCCACTGCCATCTAGATGGTGGGAAACCTGTTCACTGCGCATGTCGCGCCGCCGCGCAAAATCACGTGACCTGCCTGACGCCGGTTTCACCGTGTTGCGCCGCTCTGCATTCGCAACAGCTCCTAGAAGACGAAACAAGCGCGCATGTGCTTCTCCACGCCGACCATGACGGTTACCGACCCGCCGTGCGATTGCACCGCTGCTCCAAACCCGTCAGAACTAAAACAAGGCGCCAACGCGAACTAGCATTGCGCATTCCCTCTGGAGCGGACGCCACTAGCGCGCACAGCTCGCGCGCTAACAGCCCACATGCCCACATTTGCCACTTGGCTCACGAAGTTTGCCCTCACGAGGCGCTCACGCTCTGCCACCATCATCACATGTGCTGCGCAAAAGACGAGCTCCTCGACGCGGGCGAGAGCTTTCTGTGCGGGAAACTCGCGGAGGACGATTTGCATCACGCGCATATAGAGCTGCACGCCCGCAGACAGTCGCTGGCCAATCAGAACGGCATCCTGAAGGGAAATGCGCTGTATCCGTCCGACATCACGGGGAATATACGCACCGGACCCTGGAGAAACGAAACTACCGTGTAGTTCGACCGAACTCCAACACTTCTTAGGATTTAAGAAAGGAACTTTTTTTTAGTACCATCACAAGCTCTTTCCTGCATCATTCATCGTACAGGATGATTCTGCGGATCGTACAAATGCGAGAACGAAAAACCCGGGGCCTCATTTATAATACACATATATACAAGTTGAAGCCCACAAATATATCTTTATATAAGATGTACAGCCATCATCAATGGGCAAGGAAATACTTTTTTTATCATTTTAAGGAAATCATTTTTTTAATGGAATACCATTTTGTTGTTGTTTTTGTTTTATTTTATTTTAGGGAATTTTTTTGTTTTTGTTTTTTTGTTTAGGGTATTTTGTTTTATTTTTTGTTTTAGGGAATTCATGAATAATGAATTAATTTATTTCAGTGACATAACTATTGTATAAACATAAAGCAGTTAAAATGTTGCAGATATTAATGTTGCAGTTATAATAAAAAATATGGTTACACTTTTTGATAATCCACTTTAGACATTCTACTAACTATAAGTAACTTTGTAACTACATATCAACTAATTCTCATTAATTTGCAACTACATGTCTACTAACTCTCAGAGTAGACTGTTAGGTTAGGTTTAGGGTTAGTAGAATAAGTTGACATACTTGCAAAGTTTCTCATAGTCAGTATATTGTATGTTGTGGACTTATCAAAATAAAGTGTTAGAATATATTAAGCAGACAGTCTACTAATACTCTAATAACTGCTAGTTGACATTTAGTTGCAAAGTTACTGTTAGTTACTGTTTTTTCAGGAATATATATGTACTGTATACACACACACATTTATACGTTTACATAAAAATGTAAACATGTTAAACATATATAACATTTTAACATGTATGCATTAATATATATATATATATATATATATATATTATTTGTGTTTGTGTGTACTGTATGCTTGTATGTGTATATATACACACACACACACACACACACACATATATATACACACACACACACACACACATATATATATATATAGACACACACTGTATTAATGATTTCCTGGGGGGGGGGAATTATAATATAAATATCTGGAATAATTCATGAATTATTAATTAATGAATTAATTTCAATGACTATCATTTGTGCAATTAATAATATAAATGCATAATGTTATTGCCTATCTATCTTTTTATTTTTTTTATAATCAGTGTTAGATTATTTTAATTTTATTCAAGAGGTTTGTTCAAATGCTCTTCAGTTGGTGTACACATTTTCACGTCAGTTTCTGTTTTTTGTTTGTTTGTTTGTTTGTTTTGACTGTATGAAATCCATGAAGTTTCAGATCAGATGTGTGTTTGATTAATGAGGCCTCTGGTTGATTGTGTTGATTGGCCGCGTTCACACTGCACTTCAATCCGGAGTCACTCCTCTTACGGGAGTTTAATGTGGTTCTGATGACGTTTGATTACAACCGATACTGAACCGAACTGGTTGTCAGTCCCCAGTCTCTGCAGTGTTTACGTGGCCATTGCATTCATACCTTTACCAGGTACAGGTACATTTATCACTCCAGGTAACAGACATTGCCATAGTGAGTGTGTGTTACTCTGTGCAGGAGAATATCGCGTGTTTGAGTGTATGCAAACGCAGTTTATGAAGTATTTCAAAGTATTTTGCCATATATTTATTTTCATAGATGTTTTTGAGAGTCCCACAAATGTCCCAATCATTTCTACAGTAGAAAACTTACAAATACATGAAAATTCACCAGCAGTTTTAAACCATCCATACTCCAACTCCTCATGCTTAATATATACTGTGAATATCAACTAGCGAAAACTTAGTAATACACAAAAAAAGGCCTGCTTCTGTCTAACTTCTGCTCTGCCGTTGAAATGTGCGATGTAAACAGACAAAGAAGCTCCGTTTCAAATCCTAGTGAGCTGCTTATCTAGACAGCATTCAGAAGACTAGGCTACATGTTCATGCTGCCTTACTGTAAGGAAGCATTATAGAGAAGGACATCCCAGAATGCATTGCTGTGAACATTCAAAAATGCATAAAATTTCAATTTAAGATTTAGATATTTGAATTGCATATAAAAATGTCCATGCATTTGGATTACACCGTTTTAACGTTAAAAATTTGAAGTGATGCATAATTGTCAGTCATATATAAATGAAACGGGTCAGATTTCTGTAATAGTACGAATAAACTGAGTGTGTTTTAAATACACAGTAACCAGCTTTATCAATAAATCCGATTTGTTTCAATATCATGCATTTTAACTAATTGAATACTGCTTGTTCCACAGCTAGTCATATTTTAACCACGTTCATACTTTTTAACGGAATTAATTTAATTGTTTTCACAATGACCAGATTTATTTATTTGTTATTATAAATGTATTTATTAATATTTAAATAAAAATCAAATAGTTGCAAATAGTTATGGGATTAATATAGTCTGCCATTATATTAATATTAATATATATTAAATATTAGTCTATTTTAGGAATATTTTAAGATGTGTTATGTTTATTTATTTATTTATTTTGTGCTTAATGATCATGACAATAATGAAAGTGCAAACGATCACAATTAACAATAGAGCAAAGTGCTTTAAAAAGCTCCTTTAAAAGAGCTATACAAAATGTTATTATTATTAATTGTTATTATTGTTGTTGTTATGGAAATTTTATATGCAATTCAAAAACATAAACATTAAATTTAGGCCTACATATTTTTTGCAAGGTTTCATCAGAGTCGGCAGATGGTAAAGCGAAAATATATAACATAACAGTAATGCCACAATGCAAAACATCACAATTATGTATTGAACTTTTATATGCAATTCAAATGCATAAATGTGTTTTTGCGTGGTTTGAGGCGGTGAAGCGGCTCACTAGGTTGTGTAACGGAGCGAAAGCGTCTCTCTAGTTGTTCTATTACAGATCTGTGCTGACTCTTTACTGTTTCTATGGTGAATCGCTGTTGTCGTCAAGGAGACGTTGTTTGTGCTAGAACATCATCACTGTGCTTCTAGAAGGAACAATGACAGTGATTTGATGCTTGTGATTGATTGGTCTGCTTCACATCACAACCTGCAGAAGAAAGACTAGTAAAGCACTTCACCAGACTCGTCTAGCTGAAGGAAACGAGCGACTGTGATCATCACGCTTTTCTTCATCTGACATGAAGCTGATGTCTGTGTGGTTGCATCACGTTCTTCAAAAAAATTACATTTGGAAAGAGAATCTCAGAAAATCTGTCAAAAACATATCCCGGTCATATTTCACCCCTGAATCAAAATAAATAAATAAATAACATGAAGCCTGTTTTAGGGATAGTTTAAAATGTATTATTTTCATTTATTTCTATTTTTATTCTATTTTATTATTTATTATTTTTATTTGTGCATTTTTATTTGTGCATAATTTTTCATTTATATATATATATATATATATATAATTATTATTATTATGCTTAATTGATAGAAGATCACAATCCAT